GTATGGTTGATGGTGATGTGGTTGTTGGTGGCCCAGTTTTTGGAGATCTGTTCAATAACCTGAAGGGCGGTATAGTCAGGAGCAGAATTGTTGACGCTGATCCCAATGGTGGAGTCGTCGACATATTTCCAGCGAGCAGGGGTTTCTCTTAGGGCATCATTGATAAGCATAAGGAAGCAGAGTGGTCCCATCTTGGTGCCCTGGGGGACGCCACAGGTGAGTGACTGAAAGGTGGAGACAGCCCCTCGGAAGCGTACAGCTTGGCGTCGGTCACTGAGGAAGTCTGTAAGCCATGGTATAAGACTTCTCCGAAGCCCGAGGTCAATAGCTATATTGATGATTATATTGTGGTCGACTAGGTCGAATGCTTTAGTGAAATCAATGAAGGCGACAGCGACAGACGTTTTTCGTTTCTCAAGATGGCGGTATATGTAATCGAGAAAGCTGACAAGACAGTGAGTGGTGGAGGAAGTTTTCATATTGCCAAATTGCTGAGGGTCTACGACTCCTGCAATATCAGCATAAGCCCAGTCGAACACAAAACTTTCACAGATTAGGCTGGGTATTGGGGTGATTGCAATAGGTCGTAGCTGATTTAAGGATTGTGGGCTGGTTGACTTGGGCACTGGTGATACATACGAGGTCTTCCAGTCAGCTGGGCATCTGGCTTGACTGAGAGAAGCATTGATGGTGGAGCATAGGGGTTTAGCAAGCTCCGGGGAGAACTCCTTGAAGAGTTTCATTGGTAAGTCAATGGGGGTGGTAGAGCGTTTTAATTTTAGTTTGTCCAGACGTTTTGCTACTTCAAATTCTTCTACTAAGTCAGTGGGAAGGGGGGCTGGTAGGTAAGCAGGGAGAGTGGTTGTGTCAAGCCGGGGGAGCGTCTGACATATAGTAGCGAAATGGTTATTTGATTGCTCAGCTGCGTCAACATTAGTGAGATGGCTAAGGAAGGGGAGGGGGTGTGTCTTATTGTTTAGTCCACAGAGTTCTTTAAGCTTACCATACCATTGACTGATGTTGGTCTGCTGCAGGTGTTGTAATTTGGTTGGGTAGTGGGACTTCTTTGCAGTGCGTATTTCGCGGATGACTCGGTTGCGAAGGGACCTGTAGCAGATGTGGTCATTGAGATGAAAGGCTCTCTCTCTCTGTTGCATAAGTCTTTTGATCCGAGGTGTGATCCAGGGCAAGTCAGCTGGGTGAGATCTGACGGACTTCTCGAGGAAGAAGTGGTGGTGAGCTTCCGTGGTGGTGTTAATATAATTTTTCCATTTGGTTTCCACGTCATCCACGCTAAGTACTTCAGTCCAGGGATGGTGAACTATCCACTGCCCGAAGAGGCGCACTGCAGAGTCAGTAATCGAACTGTAGGTCTTGATGTAGGGTCTCTGTACTTTTAGTGGGAGTGGCAGCTGGGGACCAGAGCACTGATAAGTGTGTGCTACACCCAATAGGAGGCATTGGTTGAGGTGGTTGGTACTGGTCTGCTAAGTCAGTTAAGATAAGGTCAAGGGTATTTTGACCGTGTGTGGGGAAGTTCACAACTTGTGATAGTGACAGCTGGTCCTGGATATCAGTGGTGTCAATTTCATTATAATCCCCACATAATACTAATTTGGCACATGGGTACCTAACTCTGAGGTGGTCTGAGGTGGTAATGAGATGATTGATAAGAGTGTCTCTGGTGGGTGAGCGAGGCGGATGGTATGCCACACAAATTATGATGGAAGCAGTGTGGCACGGGTGGGCCCGTGGCACAGCACGTACCCATAATGCTTCCACATCTGCTGGGACTTGAACATCCAGGCGTGGCGGGCGTAGGTCATCTTGACAGAAGAGGGCAACACCCCTCCGCGTCTATGTGAACGAAGGTGATGAAAGAGTTGATATCCCTCAATATGACACGTTTCAGGCACAATTTGCCAAGCCTCACATATGGCAACGATGCAAGCGGCGGCTGACCTGACTGTGGTTGCCAGCTCGTCAAACTTGTTAGCTAGGGAAATGACGTTGGATAGCAGTATAGACGGGAGATCATACCATATCCGTGGAACTTCAGTGTAATGGTACGGTCTGTCAAGGGTGGGTTTCTCCGGTTTGCTAGTGGAGGTTATTAGTCTTAATGGCCCTGTTCATGCTACGCTCGTGAATATGCGTTCAGTGACTCGAGTCGCCATGATAATACTGCCATCAGGATAATCAGGATAACCGTTCCCACGCTTTAGATGTGTGTGTGTGTGTGTGTGTGTGTGTGTGTGTGTGTGTGTGTGTGTGTGTGTGTGTGTGTGTGTGTGTGTGCAATAGAAGGACAAACTTACTTGTAATTGCCTTCACCTGACACCTGGAGGAGGGGGTGGGTGGGTTACCAAGACGTAAATATAAGTGCTCTTTATTCTCTACTAGCATTATAGGAGTTCCAATCTTGAGAGTGAGCTGGTGAGGAGGCATTCCAGCGGGCTCCAAAGAATTAAGGAATTCTGGGTGCTGGACTGCTTGGTCCTGGTCGATTACTGTATCAACAGATTTGAATGAGGTCACTGCCTGGAAGCTGTCCGAGTGAGTCATGTTGATTTCAGCCACTGTTTCATTCTTTGGTGCAGAATTGCTCGTTCACAGCCACTTGTGACCTTAGTAGTGGCGGATAATGTTTGGGTAGACCATGTTAGTGGCTCAGTTGAACTTTAACATTTCATCCTTTTCAACCTCTGTGTGGTTTAACTGGTCAGGTCGGGTTGGGTGTGTCGGATCGGGTTGGTTGGGGTTTTTAGATCATGACACTTGCTATCATACTTTGGTGCGGGCGGCTCATTCGCTTGCCACGGTAGGACGCCACCCTCTGGGAGGCTCCACATTGTCTCACTGTTCAGTCCCCAAAACTTCTTCTTCCATCAATAGTTCATTAACGGTGTATGTAAGTTCCACCATGTTTTTCCACAACGGTACAGCAAAATTATATTTTTTTAGCTTTAAACTGTTATTATTTATTGTCTAATCATCACTACATATAACACCACCCATCATCACTACATAACATCATCCATCATCACTAAATATAACCTCATTCATCATCACTATATAACACCACCCATCATCATCACTACATATAACACCATCCATCATCACTACATATAACAACATCCATCATCACTACATATAACAACATCCATCATCACTACATATAACAACATCCATCATCACTACATATAACACCATCCATCATCACTTCATATAACATCATCCATCATCACTAAATATAATAAATCCATCATCACTACATATAACAACATCCATCATCTACATATAACATCATCCATCATCACTACATATAACAACATCCATCATCACTACATATAACAACATCCATCATCACTACATATAACATCATCCATCATCACTACATATAACAACATCCATCATCACTACATATAACACCATCCATCATCACTACATATAACACCATCCATCATCACTACATATAACACCACCCATCATCACTACATATAACATCATCCATCATCTAATATAACCTCATCCATCATCACCATATAACGCCACCATCATCATCACTATATAACACCATCCATCATCACTACATATAACACCATCCATCATCACACATATAACACCATCCATCATCACTACATATAACACCATCCATCATCACTACATATAACACCATCCATCATCACCATATAACACCATCCATCATCACTACATATAACACCACCATCATCACCATATAACACCATCCATCTACATATAACAACATCCATCATCACTACATATAACAACATCCATCATCTACTACATATAACAACATCCATCATCACTACATATATATATCCATCACTCACTACATAACACCATCCATCATCACTACATATAACACCATCCATCATCACTACATATAACACCATCCATCATCACTACATATAACAACACCCATCATCACTACATATAACATCATCCATCATCACTAAATAACCTCATCCATCATCACTACATATATACCACCCATCATCATCACTACATATATATCATCATCACTACATATAACACCATCCATCATCACTACATATAACACCATCCATCATCACTACATATAACACCACCCATCATCTACATATAACATCATCCATCATCACTAAATATAACTCATCCATCATCACTACATATAACACCATCCATCATCATCACATATCACCATCCATCATCACTACATATAACACCATCCATCATCTACATATAACACCATCCATCATCACTACATAACACCATCCATCATCACTACATATAACACCATCCATCATCTATATAACACCATCCATCATCACTACATATAACACCACCATCATCACTTTATAACATCATCCATCATCACTACATATAACACCATCTATCATCACTACAGATTTTTGGTTCTATATATATTGATAGGACCTTTAATGTCGTTTTATTTTGTATGTAATATATTTTCACCATTTCATCACCACTGTTTTACTGTTTACTCATCATTATTTCACCATTAAATCATCACACCAGAATGTGGTGTCTTTTGTAGCACCATTATCACCACTTCACCATCTCCCACAGGCTTCAACACCATCATCATCATCATTCTCTTATTTTATGGTAGTTCACTTGATGGTGAACCTTTACTCACTCACTCACTCACTCACTCACTCACTCACTCACTCACTCACCACCCTAACTCTTCACTCACTCACTCACTCACTCCTCACCACCCTAACTCTTCACTCACTCACTCACTCCTCACCACCCCTAACTCTTCACTCACTCACTCCTCCTCAATCACCGCCCTCTGGTGTGCCCTCAGACGTGTACTGGCAGCGTGAGGGCAGGGAAAGGTTGGTCACTTCCTGTGGGTGGGGAGCGACTCGTGGGCGCCAAGATCCCCGTGTCAGGAGGAGGCCGCCCTCAGTGCCATCACCATCCTGCCCCCAGAGGACCTCCTGCAAGGTGGAGTCCGACGCTCATACTAGTAGTCCTTTAAGAGTCCTTTGGTAGTTGCGGACTCTGTTGTCCTTTAAGTGTCCCATGATCCTGTTGTCCTTTAGAAGTCCCATGGTCCTGTGGTCCTTTAGAGAGTCCTGTGGTCCTGTGGTCCTTTAAGAGTCCTGTGGTCCTGTGGTCCTTTAGAAAGTCCTGTGGTCCTGTGGTCTTTAGAAGTCCCATGGTCATGGTCCTGTGGTCCTTTAGAGAGTCCTGTGGTCCTTTAGAGTCCTATGGTCTGTGGTCCTTAGAAGTCCTGTGGTCCTAGAGTCTATGGTCCTTTGAGAGTCCTGTGGTCCATTAGAGAGTCCTGTGGTCCTCTGTCCCTTTAGAGTCCCGTGGTCTGTGGTCCTTTAGAGTCCCATGGTCCTGTGGTCCTTTAGAAGTCCCATGGTCTGTGGTCCTTTAGAGTCCCATGGTCCTGTGGTCCTTAGAGTCCATGGTCTGTGGTCCTAGAGAGTCCCATGTCCTGTGGTCCTTTAGAATTCCCATGGTCCTGTGGTCCTTTAGAAGTCCCATGGTCCTGTGGTCCTTTAGAGAGTCCCATGGCCCTGTGGTCCTTTAGAGTCCCATGGTCCTGTGGTCCTTTAGAGAGTCCCATGGTCCTGTGGTCCTTTAGAGAGTCCCATGGTCCTGTGGTCCTTTAGAGAGTCCCATAGTCCTGTGGTCCTTTAGAGAGTCCCATGGTCCTGTGGTCCTTTAGAGAGTCCCATGGTCTGTGGTCCTTTAGAGAATCCCATGGTCCTGTGGTCCTTTAGAGAGTCCCATGGTCCTGTGTGGTCCTTTAGGGAGTCCCATGCTCTGTGGTCCTAGAGAGTCCATGGTCCTGTGGTCCTAGAGAGTCCCATGGTCCTGTGGTCCTTTAGAAGTCCTGTGGTCCTGTGGTCTTTTAGAGTCCCATGGTCCTGTGGTCCCGTGGTCCTTTAGAGAGTCTGTGGTCCTTTAGAAGTCCTATGTCCTGTGGTCCTTTAGAAGTCCTGTGGTCCTTTAAAGTCCTATGGTCCTTTAGAGTCTGTGGTCATGAGAGTCCTGTGTCCCTCTGGCCCTTTAGAGAGTCCGTGGTCCTGTGGTCTTTAGAGAGGTCCCATGGTCCTGTGAGTCCTTTAGAGTCCCATGGTCCTGTGGTCCTAGAAGTCCCATGGTCCTGTGGTCCTTTAGAGAGTCCCATGGTCCTTGGTCCTTTAGAGAGTCCCATGGTCTGTGGTCCTTTAGAATTCCCATGGTCCTGTGGTCCTTTAGAAGTCCCATGGTCCTGTGGTCCTAGAGAGTCCCATGGCCCTGTGGTCCTTTAGAGTCCCATGGTCCTGTGGTCACTTGGAAGTCCCATGGTCCTGTGGTCCTTTAGGGAGTCCCATGGTCCTGTGGTCCTTTAGAAGTCCCATGGTCCTGTGGTCTTTAAGAGTCCCATGGTCCTGTGTGGTCCTTTAGAGAGTCCCATGGTCCTGTGGTCCTTTAGAAGAGTCCCATGGTCCTGTGGTCCTTTAGAGAGTCCCATGGTCCTGTGGTCCTTTAGAGAGTCCCATGCTCCTGGTCCTTTAGAGTCCCATGGTCCTGTGGTCCTTTAGAGAGTCCCATGGTCCTGTGGTCCTTTAGAGATCCCATGGTCTGTGGTCCTTTAGAGTCCCATGATCCTGTTGTCCTTTTAGAAGTCCCATGGTCCTGTGGTCCTTTAGAGAGTCATGGTCCTGTGGTCCTTTAGAGGTCCCATGATCCTGTTGTCCTTTAGAGAGTCCCATGGTCCTGTGGTCCTTTAGAGTCCATGGTCCTGTGGTCCTTTAGAGTCCCATGATCCTGTTGTCCTTTAGAGTCCCATGGTCCTGTGGTCCTTTAAGTGTCCCATGGTCTGTTGTCCTTTAGAGAGTCCATGATCCTGTTGCCCTTTAGAGAGTCCTGTGGTCCTGTGGTCCTTTAGAGAGTCCTGATCCTGTTGTCCTTTAGAGTCCCTTGGTCCTGTGGTCCTTAGAGAGTCCACCTGTGGTCCTTAGGAGTCCCTTGATCCTGTTGTCCTTTAGAGAGTCCCATGGTCCTGTGGTCCTTTAGAGAGTCCATGGTCCTGTGGTCCTTTAGGAGTCCCATGGTCCTGTGGTCCCTTGGAGTCCCTTGATCCTGTGGTCCTTTGAGAGTCCCATGGTCCTGTGGTCCTTTAGAGGTATGGTCCTGTGGTCCTTTAAGTGTCCCATGGTCCTGTTGTCCTTTGAGAGAGTCCCATGGTCCTGTGGTCCTTTAGGAGTCCCATGGTCCTGTGGTCCTTTAGAGAGTCCCATGGTCCTGTGGTCCTTTAGAGAGTCCTGTGGTCCTGTGGTCCTTTAGAGTCCATGGTCCTGTGGTCCTTTAGAGTCCCATGGTCTGTGGTCCTTTAGAGAGTCCCATGGTCCTGTGGTCCTTAGAGAGTCCCATGGTCCTGTGGTCCTTTAGAGAGTCCCATGGTCCTGTGGTCCTTTAGAGTCCCATGGTCCTGTGGTCCTTTAGAAAGTCCCATGGTCCTGTGGTCCTTTAGAGTCCCATGGTCCTGTGGTCCTAGAGTCCCATGGTCCTGTGGTCCTTTAGAGAATCCCATGGTCCTGTGGTCCTAGGAATCCCATGATCCTGTTGTCCTTTAGAGAGTCCCATGGTCCTGTGGTCCTTTAGGAGTCCCATGGTCCTGTGGTCCTTTAGAGAGTCCCATGGTCCTGTGGTCCTTTAGAGTCCCATGGTCCTGTGGTTCTTTAGAGTCCCATGTCCTGTGGTCCTTTAGAGTCCCATGGTCCTGTTGTCCTTTAGAGAGTCCCATGGTCCTTGGTCCTTTAGAGAGTCCCATGGTCCTGTGGTCCTTTAGAGTCCCATGGTCTGTGGTCCTTTAAGAGTCCCATGGTCCGTGGTCTTAGAGAGTCCCATGGTCTGTGGTCCTTTAGAGAGTCCCATGGTCCTGTGGTCCTTTAGAGTCCCTGGTTCTGTGGTCCTTAGAGAGTCCCATGGTCCTGTTGTCCTTTAAGTCCCATGGTCCTGTGGTCCTTTAGAGAGTCCTATGGTCCTGTGGTCCTTTAGAGTCCCATGGTCCTGTGGTCCTTTAGAGAGTCCTGTGGTCCTGTGGTCCTTTAGAGAGTCCTATGGTCCTGTGGTCCTTTAAGAAGTCCCATGGTCCTGTGGTCCTTTAGAGTCCCATGGTCCTGTGGTCCTTTAGAGAGTCCACTGGTCCTGTGGTCCTTTAGAGAGTCCCATGGTCCTGTGGTCCTTTAGAGAGTCCCATGGTCCTGTGGTCCTTTAGAGAGTCCATGGTCCTGTGGTCCTTAGGAGAGTCCTGTGGTCCTGTGGTCCTTTAGGAGAGTCCCATGGTCCTGTGGTCCTTAGAGAGTCCCATGGTCCTGTGGTCCTTAGAGAGTCCCATGGTCCTGTGGTCCTTAGAGAGTCCTGTGGTCCTGTGGTCCTTAGAGAGTCCCATGGTCCTGTGGTCCTTAGAGTCCTGTGGTCCCAGGCCTTAGAGAGTCCCATGGTCCTAGAGAGAGAGGAGAGAGGAGAGAGAGAGAGAGAGAGAGAGAGAGAGAGAGGAGAGGAGAGAGACGAGGGAAGGCAATTGAGAGAGAGCAGTGGGTGGAGAGGTAGAGAAAGCCCAAAGTGGAGAGAGCAGGGAGGTGAGAGGTAAAGGGTGCCCAAAGTGAGAGAAAGAAAGGGAGGAGAGGCAGAGAAGCCCAAAGTGAGAGAAAGAAAGGAGGTGAGATAAGGGGTTATGACCAAGGGGAGAGAGAGAAGCAGAGGAGAGAGAGAGAGAGGAGAGAGAGGAGAGAGAGGAGAGAGAGGAGAGGCTGAGAGAGGGAAGGTAAAGGAGCTGAGGAGAGGATAAGTGTGAGCTGAGGAGGAAGATATGAGCTGAGAGAGGAGGGTAAGAGTGAGCTGGAGAGGAGGGTGAGGTGAGCTGAGAGTGAGTATAAATGTGAGCTGAGAGAGAGGATAAGTGTGAGCTGGTGAGGAGGAAGGTAAGTGGTTTATAGAGAGGAGGGGAGTGAGCTGGGAGAAGAGGTTGAGTAGTGAGGAGAGGAGGTGAGGTTGCAGAGGAGGAAAGTGTGAGCTGAGAGGAGAGGATGGTAAGCGTGAGCTGGAGAGGAGGATATGAGTATTTGAGAGAGGAAGGTAAGGTGTGAGCTGAGAGAGGAAGGTAAGAGCTGAGAGAGGGTGAGGAGTGAGAGGAGGGAAGGTAGGAGAGCTGGGAAGGAGGTGGAGGGTGAGAGGAGGTAAGGAGCTGAGAGAGGAGGGTAAGAGTGAGCTGGGAGAGGAGGATAAATGTGAGCTGAGAGAGAAGGTAAGTGGAGATGAGAGAGGAGGGTAAGAGTGAGCTGAGAGAGGAAGGTAAGAGTGAGCTGAGAGGAGGTAAGAGTGAGCTGAGAGAGGAGGGAGGAAGGAGAGAGGAGGGTGAGGAGTTGAGAGAGAAGGGTGTGTGAGCTGAGAGAGGAGGAGGCGGGCTGAGAGAGGAAGTAAGTGGCTGGAGAGGGGTAGAGAGCTGAGAGAAGAAGGGGTGAGCTGAGAGAGGAGGATATGGTGGAGCGAGAGAGGGAAGGAAGTGAGCTGAGAGTAGGTGGTGCAGCTGAGAGAGGAGTAAGAGTGAGTTGAGAGATTGGAGCTGAGTGAGCTGAGAGAATCTGTGGGAACCCGAAGAGTGACACAGTTAACTCATTGGTGAGTTGAGTCCTGAGCTGGCTATTAGCTTTATTGAACGGGTGTAAGCCTGCAACACACACACACACACACACACATATACACACACACACACACACACACTTTTTTCTATTGGAGATAGATATGGATGAAGAGGGAGAGAGAGAGAGCATTCCTGCTGGCATGGAATTAATGGTTTCTTTTGAGTCATCATTTGCTCACTCTCCTACCCTCCCTTCACCCTCTCTCCCTCTTCCCCCTTTTTCACCTTTCTCCCTCACCCTCTCCCTCACCCTTCCTCCTTCAACTCCCCCTTTTCAACTTTTCTCCTTGTTCCTCATTCCTTATCTCACTCTCTCCCTCGCCTCTTCTTCTTTCTTCCTCTCCTTCCCTCACCCTCCCCTCACCTCCCCTCATCCCTGGACACAGGTAACGTCGTCTCCTTCAA